GAAGCAATATAATTTTGGTTCCACTACTTTGAGAAAGGAAGCATTCAACTTTTGTTTGCGGCAACTGAGCCGCAAGAATCTGAAACCGAAAGGCAACGGATTCACAATGAAACAAAAATTAATGTGCTTACCACTTTACAAAACATCGGGCGCAGTATATAGATTTTTGTCTGCTTGGTTCAAATTACCAAGCAAAGGAGCAATCAATAGATTATTACAGAAAATTCCACTTAGCCCCGGAATTAATGATGTAATTATACAAAATGTTGAAGAGGCGGTAAGATGTTTAAAGAAACATGAGAAATTTTGCTTGCTTATGTTCGATGAAATTTCGTTAACTTATAACATTGAGTACAATACATATACGGATAAGATTGAAGGCGTATATAACGGAGACATAATTGACCATGCCCTCGTCTTTATGCTCAAAGGGATTACAAGAAAATGGAAACAAACAATTTGTTACTTTTTTAACAAGGGTCCCATAAAACCGGAGGCACTAAAAGAACTAATAAGAGAGGTGATAAGGAAATTTAATGGAGTGAATGGTAGGTAGTACTTACTAAGCACAGTATGAAATTGCATGAAATATGAAAATCCATATCATCCTGAATCTTTCATCCTATTACAGGCTTAAAAATAATAGCAACAATTTGTGACCAAGGGCCTACAAAGAGAACAGCCATAGAGAGATTAATAGACGACGCCAGGAATTTTTATCTCAGAAACAACGTAGAGCCTAAACGGCGAATTGTTATCGATAATAACGAAATAGTGCCTATGTACGATGTACCACGTTTATTGATAGGGATACGTAATAATTTATTAAAGAAAGATCTAATTTGGAAAAAAAATAATGAGGACGTCCAGGCAACATGGAAGGACATTATTACGGCTTACGAAATAGATTGTGACAACGGAGACCTACGAATGATGCCTCGAATTACAGAATTCCACGTTTACGAGGACAAAATTGAAAGAATGAAAGTTTCCTATGCGGCTGAAATTTTCAGCTATAAAGTAGCAGTGGCCATAAATTTGATGGCACGAAACAGTAAGTACAGAAT